GGGGGCTGGACTAGATGACCTCAAAGATCCCTTCCAAGTGTTATTCCACATTCTAGCTGCTTCTCTGCTTCCACGCCGTGGAGGAAACCAAACAGCCTGAGTTGCTCCCAAATTCTCCTCCGACCTGCCCTCAACTCACCTTCCAGCTGAGGCTTTGATCCTTGGAAGAGGCACCAGAGCCTCTCTGCACCACACTCCAGTGAGTGTTCCAGAAGAGGAAGTTCCTTTGTGCTTCTTCTCTCCTCCCATCCTTTCTAGTAATACAGTACTCGATGGTTTTAACTCCTTTAAGCTCATCCAGAGAGGCCGCTATTGTGTTGTTGGCTCTCCAGTCACAGATGCTGCCTATCTGACTGCCAGCTCACAATAAGAGGCTCCAAAACAGGCTTGTGCGCTTGTCCCATCTCAAACTATGGCATTGGCCAGATGTTTTCACTGATTACATGCTATCAAGTCATTTTCAGACTCCTAGCAACCTATCTTTGCAGCTGAGCCAAGTGAAATAATGAATTGTGTACTTAATTTGTGAAGATTTAGCTGCATGCTGAGCAAGTGCATGGAGTTCTCACAGAATTACAGAGTATGATCTGGAAGGGACCAAGTCTCAAAGCAGACAACTCTATTTGATTCTGGACAGTTGGCTATCGAATCTCCTCTTACAAACTTCCACTGATGGAGAACCCATCTAGAATCAAGCCATTCCACTTGTTCTTACCGACATGAGCTTTCTGCTTGATTCTACATTTGGATCTATTTTTGATCAGTTTCCCTCTGTTACTTCTTGCTTCTCTTAGGCGCTTTGGAGAATAAACCAACTCTCTCTTTTTTCTAAATGTCTTATTGATTACATCATTAAAATATTGGACATGGTTGGGATGGGCTGTCTGCTAAAATAAATCAAGGTCATACACACATTTGAAAGTAAATCAGGAAGCCTGTGACTGTGGAGTCTGTCTGGCAAGAACAAAGAATTTTTATCCACAGGAAATATGCATGTGTTAAATCTTGTAACAACCCTGGCTAATTAGAAAGCTGATAATAGTAACAGGAGTTAGACAACTTGCAGACTTCAGCTAAAAGTTAGGAATAGAGATGGCCTGCAGCAAATCAAATGTGTATTAGATAACTCCTAGGGCATTCATTAGCCAAGACTTGAGAATAGGGACAGCTAGAGACCAATAGACCAAACTGTAGAATTATTACTAAAATGTTTATTAGATGATATTTCTTATTATCTCGCTTTGTCCCACCTTTTCCTTTAGTGAAAATGTATAAAAACTTACTCAATCCTTTGTTCTTGGCTCTTGGCATTTTGACCAGGAGCCCTTTTCCCCTGGAGTACTCCAATAAAAAGCAATCAGAAAACCTGCACCTCGTGTCTGGTGTCTATCATTGGCTTCTTCGGCACCAGGCTCACACCAGAATTGGGGACAACAATCAGTCGTCCTGGCATCATTTTTGCCATACATACAGTTACATATCTTGTATACATTTATACAGTTAACTTATATCTGTTATATTATCCATCGTGTTTCCATTAACTGTCTCCTCTTTTCTCCTCCAGCCCCTCTTTTCTGTGTCAGGCCAAGATCCAACTTCACATTTGAAAGACTGCTATCATATCACTCCTAGTCCTTCTCTGTGGTATCCAATTCCTACAATTGTTCATCATAGGTTTTATCCTCCAGTCCCCTAAATGTCTTTGTTCTTCTCTGCACTCTTTCTAGAGTTTGTACACCGTTTTTGTATCCTGGGGACCAAAACTGGATGAAGTATTCAAAGTGTAGTCTTACCAATACAGTATAATACAGTACTAACACACTTCATGAGATCTTGACACACTCTCTCTGGTGCTGCACACTAGGACTGCATTAACTTTCAATTACAGCACATTGCTAGCACCTATGCATTTCTAGGTGCCTGTCAGAGTTATTGCTGTTGAGCAAGGTACAATCTTTTCCATTGATGTGCATTTACCTTTTCTTGTCTTAAATGTAAGACCTTATTTTTCTCACCACTGAATTGCATTTTGCTGGAAAGGGCCCAGTGCTCACATGTGTCAAGATCCTTCTGGATCTTGGGCATATCTTCTAAAGCAGGGGTCCCCAACCACCGGGCCCCGGACCAGTACCGGTCCGTGGACCATTTTGTACCGGGCCGCCTACTTTGCTTGGGCGCCGCCATCTTGTTTCGATGGCGCTTGAGAAAGTGCTTCCGGGTGAGCTTGTCGGTCGTCAGTTGGATAGAAAGCAGCGTTTGGGTGCTGAAGGAATCCTCGCGCCTTAGTTTTGTCGAAGGAGGGGGCGGCTTTGAACGAAGAGCCGTCCTGATGGCAGTGGAGTCTTGTGTTACTCAGGAGGAGATTAAGAAAGAACCCCGAAAAGACCGCGAGAAGGTACAAAGGAGGAGTTGAAGGTGGCGGGGAGAAGCGGGGGACGGCTGGCTGGCCGGTCACTCGGCTCGCCTTGCTTTGGTCGTGCGTGCTGATGCCGGTACCGGTCCGTGGATCATTTTGTGATGCCGGTACCGGTCCGTGGTACAAAAAAGGTTGGGGGCCACTGTTCTAAAGTGTTGGCTTCCCCCACCATCACCACTGGGTGTCACTGTCCCAAAATTATTTTCAAAATGCAACTGATGAGGTGCCGGTGGCCTTTTGCCAGCTGGACAGATCTATAGCAAGGGGGATTCCAGTGGCATTCATCACCGAGCTGGTAGAAATACAGATGGGGGGAAAAACAGAGACTCAGTTTCATTGTAGCGCTGGGTATGGAAAGACCCCTGGTGCCAGGATTAGGAAAAGGAACCCCTGTGTGAACTGGAGGAGGCAGCTTCTTAAAATCCAGAGGACTAAAGCAAAAGGAGAGCTGGGAAAGGACCCAGGGGCCCCAAAGCTGAGGCAGGAGGTGGCGGCTGTAATGCAAGAGGCAAAAGACAGCTGACCCTCGAATTCCATAGCAGTACTGGGACTTGCAGGATGTATTTAGTGAGAATGGTTGAGATGAGCTCCCAGCCCACTGGCCAACTGACTGCTCCATAGTACTCCTGCTAGATGCTAAACTGCCTAAACCCAAAATTTATTCAATAACTGAGGGTGGAGGTTTGTTCTCCAAGTTTGTTGGTTTGTTTCTGAACATTTTGTTACCAGGCTAGTTTAGGGGAACCTCTTCAATAACACCTAGGGAATTCTAGGACTTAGTCATTTGAAGTGGATGCCATTTCCTGGAAGCATCACTGGGGGTTGGGGGGATAATTGTCTTCCTATCCAGCTGGTGGATTACCCAGAAGGATGTGAAAGATCCTGGTGAGAAAAAAAAACATTTCTGCTCTGAGTGGTCCCCTTTCTCTTGGTCAATTCGTTCCGTTTCCAACCTCCCCCTCAGGGTCGTTCAAACAGTTTTCATCTGGGTGAAAACTGGAAACGCCTGGGGTGTATAGTCTCGCGTGAGTTCAGGCACACATCTACTTAGAGAATGGGTGTCTGACATCCTGCGGGATCAGGGCACCTAGAAGGTTCCGGGCCTCTGCCGGAAAAGTAGTTGCATGCTAATGAGGGGCTTGGAGGAATGTGAGTTCCCTGTCCCAAAACCTCACTTTGTGCAAACGCTTTTCCACGTGGAGCCTGGAAGCCTTTGGAGGAGACTTTCTGAAGCTGCCTGCCATTCCAGAAGTGGCTGGCAGGCTCGGTAAGCAGAGAAACTGAGCAGGGGTTCTCATCCTGCTCCTCCTTTGCTCACACCCCTCACTGGGAGCAGGCGAAGAAACAGAGGCCCTGGAGAGGAGACAGATCTTCACAAGGTAAGTGACCCAGCGCAAGAAGGTTGGTGGGGAGCAGAGAAGCCATTGTGGGGAGCATGAGGTATTTCAGTGGGTCAGGGGAGGCCTTGGGTGGTCTGTTCCATCACTAGGCCTGTTCCATCACTAGGCCTGTTCCATCACT